AGATAGATAATACAAGGCAAGGAGCAAGTCACTTGACAATCGAATTAACACCACGAGCTAAAGAACTTGATTTTAGAAACATGGCAGCGATTCTCAGGAAGTAACGAACCTGCTAGATATTCTTTGGCAGCGCCTGCCCCCTATCGAGAAGTGTTAGAATATGGCTCAAAGAATGGATTGAAGAAATGAGTACCAACCAAACTCTTGATAATATCGTACACGCTTTTATCATGATATCGAAGACCAGTGGCAGGGTCCGTGTATGGAGCCTCTAGTCCAGTAATATCACAGTAGTGTTTGGGAGGTAACAAAGATGGTGGTGCCTCAATAGACGTATCTAAAAACCATGTCAAAACAATTTCAAAGCAACAAAACAATCGACTGACAAGAAGGTAAATCTTCGTCCGCGACCTCGCCATCCACGTCCATAGCATTAGCTTCCAACCTCCCTAATCTCCTCTTCTCGCGATCCAAACGGTCACGTTCTCGTTCTTGGCTAAGGACGTTCTTCAGATTTTTGGCGCGTCGGTTGACATTCTTTGTATAATTTGGATTCTTAAAAGGTCGAGGATAATGTAGATACGAGAGTTGTTCACCTAAAGACTAGAAATTGTGCAATCATTAGGCTTGAAATATGTACAAGACGATAAATTAAAAGCTCACAGGAGTTAATGGTGTCGCGTCCCCGTCAGTGCCGCCTTTCTTTCTTGGAAAGCCTTTAGGTGGCCTATTATCATGATAAGCAACTCGATAAATCTACGAAGCCAGAAAAAAAACGGAGCCAGCCTGTAACTGCACCTGCTGTCGAAACAACCGCAGAAGACTCTGATGATGATCCTGAAGAGGAGAATGACGAGTGGGTAGACGAAGATAATGATAATGAGGAAGCTATGGACGAAGATACCCCAGCATCAGATTCAAAAGCACTGGTGAAGCCGAAAGATCCCAATGGTATGTGATAGTCGAGTTCAAGACTTATCTTATTTGACTTATTGGCCTTCTGTTCATAGCCTCACGCGAATCGCACAAGGCGCAAAAAGCTCTTCACGAGCAACGACGAGCAGCGAAGCCCCATTCCGAACTACTCAGCGACGCGAAACGAGTATGGTCACTCGCACGGCAAAACAACATACCTACAACCGAACGCCGAAAACATATACAGGAACTCATGGACGTTATTCGCGGAAAGGTCAAGGAAATTGTGTTCAAGCACGATGCTAGCCGTATAGTCCAGACCGTGGTGAAATATGGTGGGCAGAAGGAAAGAGACGAGATTGCTGAAGAGCTAAAAGGACGATTCAAGGAATTGGCACAGAACAAATATTCAAAGGTATGTATACCAGTCTAAAAGAAATCTATGAACACATCTAATCGCGGTCCAAAAGTTCCTAGTGACGAAACTAATTCGACTATGTCCAACACACCGAGCATCCATTTTGACCGAGTTCCAGGGCAGCGTTATTCGCCTTCTTCTCCATAGAGAGGCTACATCTGTCCTCGCAGACACTTTTGAGCTTTATGCCAATGCTTACGAACGTTCGATCCTCCTTCTCGACTTTTATGGAAAAGAGACCCTGTTATTCAAGACCAGCGGAGGCAGCGACGAGGAGAAAGAACGAGCTAAGAAGGGGTTACGAGGTGTACTGGAAGGTACAGATGTCGAGAGAAAACGGAGAGTTCTCAGCGCTCTCAAAGAAAACCTTGTCACCATGTAAGTATCGCCTCTCACACAATCCCTGTCTCATGAACCTATCTTCATATAGATATAACAACCCTGACAAAGGCGCAGTCACGCACGCTGTAGTCCACCGCGCTCTCTGGGAATATCTCTACGCCCTATGCGATCTACCAGACGAAGCAGAGCGAGAGAAACTACGCCACGAGATCTTCGAGACCTGTCAGGAAGTGTTGGCCGAGATGGTACATACCAAAGACGGGAGTCGCGTTGTCCGAGAGTTCCTGGCATATGGAACCGCAAAGGACCGGAAACAGATCCTTAAAGTTCTGAAACCTCACATTGAACGAATGTGTCTAGACGACGACGCTCAAATGGTTCTTTTCACCGCCTTAGATGTCATCGAGTAAGTCTTCACCTCAGTTATGAGAGGCGGCAATGTTAGCCGTTACACCATATCCGATTGTGATACCAGGACGATCTAATTGATTAACATCTTGAATGAGCTGCATGCTGCATCAATGCTGCATGGCTGGTTCTTGAGAGAATCTTCCCTCCAACTTTCATCCATCAAGCATCTCAATCTTTGAAACACAAACATTGTGTGTGTGTGTATATCTCATAACATGGCGCTTAGGCGATAAAAAAAAAGGAGAACATGATCCTGGAATCTCTAGTAGGGCGCCCCAGCTTTGCCCCAGCTCACCAAAGATTAAATTTCAAGTGATGACATTCCTAAAAGCCACGCTCTTGAGTTTACAGGCCTGGTAAGGATGGACTTATCCATATTTTGCAACGGTTGAAACATCATGTTACCTTGATGTTATCTATAGGTTCTGGACGGCCATTACCGCTGTCAATCTCCTCGCGCCTTCATTCTTGACCATCACCAATGCAATTCCTGTTGCAACCGACACGACAGAGCCATCCCCTGCTCGACAACTACAGAACGAACATGCATCGAGGTCTTTGTCACCTAGTGACCTCCCGCATCAACCTGTTGCTCTTCGATCACTTGCAGAGGAGTATTCAGAAATCTTGCCTCTACTGTTCTCATCAGGCGGCGTAACTGTGAGCTCATTGCAGAATATGTACGCGGTCAAGCATGCCTATCGCTCAAGACGAATTGATACTCCAAGCATTCAGTCCATTTTCGAAACGTTTTTACTGAAGTGGTATCCGATTAGCGAGATGGACCTGCAATCGAAATGGGACCAACAGTTGGTTGAGCAGACTGTCGAAGTGATAGTCATTGCAGATTACATGGTATCAGAAGAAGATCCATGCCTTAGGACAGACAATGGCCAAGAGAAGCTTCGGTGGCTCATACAGTATCTCCATGGCGCCACATCCACCTTGTCAACAAAAACGGAAAACCTTTACGGTGATTTAGGCAAACTTATCGGCAAAACCTTGCCAAAGTACGAGAAGTATTTGTCGGACATCGCCAACAATAGACGAAGGATCTCGGAATAAAGGTAAGTCCCAAGTTGAGCCCAACTATCTTAAGCACTCACGTTTTGACGGCGGCACCATTCAAAGAATGAGAAAGCCGATAATAAACTGTAGAATGGCTTCCACAATGCTGTTCAGTCTTCCGCACATTTCCGATGGCATCGTGTAGCAAGCTGAGATGGACTCCGTGGCTGTGGTAGTTGTGAAACAATTTTGGGACCGATAGGGAGATAGATGATAGGTGCAGAGGGATGGAGTAGCGATGGTCGTTAAGTAAGTCGTATCAAATCCATTCATGGTGCACTGGAAGGTTCTAGCCCTTGAATGTGAGTGAGGCATGCTGTGGCGTGAAAGCGGCGGCATATATAAGTATTGTAAATTCGAATTGTTTTCAAAAAGCTGAGAGAGAGAACAATCATGGCAAGAATCATGGTGGTAAGTATCTGTCGGCTTGTGACTGTAACGGTTTGAGTAGCCATTTCGATAAGAGAAAGTGCGTTGGAACCTCCTCCCGTATTATGTCTGCTATATATATGGCCTCGTCATCGAAAAATTCCACGCATGCAATAACGAAGCAAAACGACGCCTTTTCGCGCTCATTCAGTGAGTCATCGAATGATAGCATCTGCTGGAAAGTCAAGTCAGATGATGAAAGAGATTTGGTGTGTGTGGACTAACATGCAACATTCGGCAGGGATTCGGTATGACGAGCTTGATTATGTCAATGACGCAACTCGTGGTATTTACGGTCGATCCATATGCATAACACAAAGGACCGCCTTTTGTCCGTAATGGTGGGCTTGGAGTCCGGAAGAACAACCGAACGATGTGTAGTGGAGGTTTGACGTTAAAAGTCGTCTTGGCCGCTATGAGGGATTTGATGGTCCTCAAAACGAAATCTGACGCAATTTTGCTAAGGAAATTGTGATATAATGTACATTCACAGAAAGAGTTCAAAAGGTACGTGCCTTTGTACAAATACCCAGCCTTGGCGATTTCGAGACACATATTCGAACAAGATTTTCCATTTCTGATTCATGACTCATGAGGGCCGTAGGCGACGGATTGGCGCGCTGCAAGTCCTGTTCACTCCTGGTTTATTTCCTGGGTTCGTAAACTCGTTAACCGGGGGAAGAGCGGTCCTATGCGAACAGTGCCTCGTCGTTCTAGATGCACGTCGATAATTATGATATCAGTGTCCTCCTCGACATCAGCCTTTCAATTTGAGGACACGCTTGTCCTGCTTTTGTCATATTCAGCGCTGTACGTGATTCTGATTCTGACGAGAGTTTTTTTTTGCGAAAATGCAAAGCAGCTTCAAGCGAACACACAAATCTTGGCGAGCAATGCTGGTGTTATTAGGATTTTTTCTAGAGGATATATATCATGTCATAAGTACTGAAAAAAGACCGTCAGACTCTAAATTCAAGTGTAAAAAAGCCACAACACACCTTTTAAAAATACACATCACGCAGGAATCATAAGCTCTCCAAATGACCTGACAGCGAATATCCCACCAAGGAACATAGTGAGGCCTACGACCATGTTAACGTTTCCAGGGAGTTTTTCTGGTGCGAAAATTTCGTTCGCGAGGAATCTATGTACGTTGTGAATCCTTCAGGAGCACTTCCACAGATATAAGACACAAACGCACCTGGAAAAGGCTGACTGGTCCTCGTCGTGAGATGCGACGGCGCGCCTTTGTGCTTGCAGTGGGTGTGGCACGTAGGATGGTGCAGAAGAGGGTGCAGTGCGACGAGCCATTTCTTGGTTGTGGTTGGGAGGTGAAGAGTTTTTGATGTGACGTTTTCGTTCATTTTTCCACGATCAGGGAGCCATTGACATTGGTTGTTTGATGATGGTTTCATAGTCGGATATGGTGTAACGGCTAACATTGCCGCCTCTCATCACTGCGTCGCGGCAGCTCGGGGTTCGATTCCCCGTATCCGAATTTGGGAGAAAGTGATTCTTTTTGCTCCTAACCACACTAATCCTATAATCCCAATCTCTGAATTAGATTCGTTTTGTCTTCCGATGCGCACAATTTAACGAATCTCCTCTGGAAATAGGTACTGAATGATATCTTGAATGAGATGCATCCTGGCTGCTTCGAAGTCCAATTTTCTGCGGCTGTGACTTGGCTGTGACTTCTCCTTACACAGGAAACCTTACCTTACCGAGCACTGAAACACTAAAAGTTGTAAGTAAAATCCTGGAATGCAAAAATAGGTTCGATTATACATACCAGGGTTAGGGATTGGAAACTCCCTCGCGACGAACTTGGAGGCGTCTATTATCCTGGCATGCCTCGTCATGACTTTTCGTATAAATGGACGGATACTGCCATTCGGAACTTCCTTCTCTCGTTCTTAAATAAATACTGTTTGGAGATCCATAAAACTTACTGAACGACTACTATCCATTGATGTATACCAGATATTCCCAACGACACTCGACCAAATTTCGCCA